TTTTGAGTTGGATTTGAGTTTTCCAAGGATTTTTTCTCCTCTTTTCATCTGGTTCCCTTTTCTTCTAAGGCCCAAGAGAGGAAGACATGCTGTGGTCTCTAGCCCTCCACCTAGCAGTCCTGGCTCCTGGTAAGTGCGCTTCCCAGATGCTGAAGGGGGTTTTTTGTTTTCCAGTGGGAAGCTATACTAAGGAATTGCCATGACTTCTTCCTCATTATTTTATGTTGCTGTTCCCATTGCAGCAAGTCTGAAAGCTTCCATCCTGGAAATGAAAAGCGTGTCAATCACCATGCAGAGTGGGGAATCTGTCGAAATCATTTGTGATCTTAAACAGGATATTTACTACATCCACTGGTACCGATACCAAGAGGGGAAGACCCTGCAACGCATCCTCCACTTCTACTTCCCCAGCTCAAAGGTGGTGCTGGACTCAGGATTCAGTTCAGAGAAATACTATGCTTATAAAAACACACAGAGGATCTGTAAACTTGTACTTGAAAATCTACAAGAAAGTGATTCTGGTGTGTATTACTGTGCCGCCTGGGATGTGCACCGTGATTCAGACCTCCCCTATACTACGCTTAAAATTTTTGCTTGTGGCTGCCAACAGCCCTGGAACACAAGATAGACCAACTCTTGTCTCCTCACTTCCTGCCCCTGGTTTCACTGTACTCTTAACAATGAGAAACCCTGAGCTCAATGCCTAACCGCCACCCTTCTATCCCTTCAAGCAGCTGCATTCCCCCCACCTCACAGAGTCTTCCTAAACTCCAAACTAAGATCTCCAGACCTTAGCCAAGCAGTCTGGCTAATAACATAGTTCTTTCAGTCTTCTAGGGGCTGGTGGAGCCCCTTCTAATATGCTTCCTAGGACAGACAAGGTCATCTGGGGTTGACCTGTTAAGGGAGACTTTTTGTAAAAATTTTTTTATTTTACTGTACCTCAGGTGAAGGCTTACGGAACAAATAGTTTCTCATGAAACAGTAGTACACATGTTATTTTATGACATTGGTTAACAACCCCACAACATATTAACCCTCTAAATTCTCAACGTTTTTTTTTTTTTGGTGAAAATACCCATAGCCAAAGATACACGGTTTCAAAAATTTCTACATACACAGTTCAGTGACATTGACTATGCTCTTCCAATTGTGCTGTTATTCTCACTTTAGATGAAGGCTTACAGAA